GTGACCTACATATGTACAGTTAAATTTTCTAGTAGCCACATTAAAAACAGTCTTTTAAAAAGCAAGGTAAATTGAGTTTACTAACATACTATATTGAATACTAATTTTCTAAAATATCATTTCAATGTGCAATCAAGGTAAGACAATTAATGAGATATATTAGTTTGTTTTTTCCTATAAAATCCAGGATGCACATTACACTTGCAGCACTTCTCGGTTTGTCCAGCCCCATTCCCAATGCTCAGTAGCCCCACATGTTGGGCAGCACAGGGGCCGAGCATCTATGCCCCAGTGTGTAAATGTCCATGAGGACCCCCACTTCATGGTTGAGGGTCCAGGGGATGGAGTGAGACAATGTAACACAAGACCCTTGGCTAACAGCAGACCATCTTAATTTCACTCACCTCACTTAGAGTTGGGTCCCCTCGTTCCCTCTCTGCATTTGTCCCATCTAGAAAGTAGGCAATAGCTTTGACCCGATTCAGCCTATTCCAGCCAGCCTGCCTTTCCCAGACCTGCACCAACCTTCAAAATCAATTTTGTCTCTGTTCACTAAAATACAGGCAAGTTAAATATTTGTTGTTAGCTATGATTCAGATTTGCTAAAATATTCTTCTTCTTTGCATTGGGCACAGATCCTTCCTTCCAGTGTGCACATCACAACAGCAAGCACAGAGTTCCTTGTCAGACCACTTACTGCCCTTGACTCTCCTTAAGTAATACTTAAGGAACATCTACTAAATATCAGCCCTTGTCTCAGGAACCACAACACTGCTAGGAGCAGACTTTTTCCTGGTGAAGATTATACTCTTACATTATGTATTATAAGAATATAACTAATACATATATAAAATGTGATGGCAACCAGTGCACATCCTGCAGAGTAGCTGTCTGCCACTTTCCTGCTGCCATAAGTGGACAAGAGCGTTTCAAGGAAAATTCCAACTCCATCACTGCATACTAGGCACCTGACGTGAATGAATGAGCAGACTGAATTGAATGAATGTTCACAACAATGCATAGTTGTTAAAGACTGACTAAATTAGATTGGATTTAGTGGCTGCTGCAATACATGGCTGAATGAATGAAATGGGTTGGACCAAACTGAATGATTACTACATAAAATAAACTCTATTGTTATTCTATGATTTTTCCAGACCATGACTATAAAGTCCCTGTTCAGAACAGTTCCTACTTAATTCAGTCTGAGGTCATTCACAGGCATCTTCATGTACCATGGAACTTCTGGTTTGGATTCTCTGACATGCCTTGATTTGATCTTACCAGATGTTTCCAAAATGTTACTGTTAGCTCTTTTATTTTGTTTTGCTGTGCTTCTAATTGAAGCAACTGTAAGGGGATTTTGTTTCATTTGTCACTATAATAGACAAGGGTCTCTTAGTCTCACAGCTGTATTTATAAAAATGGCTTCCCCTTAAGCAACTGAGCATTAACTTAAATCTTATTTCTGCTTAGGCATTTGGAGAATCCAGGCCATAGGATCCATGAGTTTTCCTTGATGTTATCATGGTGGACAAGTGTTCTGGGCTGGTTTGCATGTTTCTCCTCTTGGTAACAGCCTCTGCTCTCCAGGTTTTGTATGTATGTGTGATACTGGGGTTTGAACTCAGGGCTTTACATTTGCTAGGTAGGCACTCTATTGCTTAAGCCATACCTCCAGCCCTTTTTGCTCTGATTGTTTTGGGGAGAGGTTTTTTTTTTTCATCTTTTCTTTTTTGGTGCTGGGATCGAACCCTGGGCCTCACGCATGCTAGGGAAGCGCTGTACCACCGTTGCTCTGGTTGTTTTGGAAATGGAATCTTTTTACCGAGATCAGTCTGAATTGTGGCCCTCCTATTTATGCCTTCCACTGTAAGTAGGATGACAGGTGCAAGCCCACACCAGCTTTATTCCATTGAGATGGGAGTCTTGCAAATTTGTTTGCTGGGCTGTCCTGAAACCATGATCCTCCTGATCTCAGCCTCCGGCGCAGCTTGGGATGTCAGGTGCATGCCACCACACCTATTAGTTTAGATGGAGTCTCATGAACTTTTTGCCTGGGCTAGCCTCAAACTGCAATCCTCTGGATCTCAGCCTCCCAAGTATCTAGGATTATAGGTGTGAGTCACAAGCATTTCTCCACTTTTTACTTACACATTAAACCCCTTTTCTTAATGGATGCAGGTAATAACATTTTCCACTCCCAAATGTTAGATAAGATCAAGTGATTTCAGGACTAGTGATTGGTCTAGGAGTAGTCGCATGACCTACTGTAGTCCAGTTAGACTGTGTGGTAAGCATACTAGGAAATAGCTTCCCACAGACCCTATGAGGCACTGACAGGTGTCTTGTGCTGGCATCCCCAATCTTCTCACTCACATCCATTCTCACTTCCACCCTGCTGCTAGTACCATGATGCCACATTGACACCTGGACTTGGTCTGTTGGTGTCAGAGAGAGCCAGGCTAAGACAGGTAGCAGCCAGGCTGGAGACAGGGCAGGACCTTCCTCCCTGTTCCCCTTAGCAATGATCCAGGAGGAAGCACTTGAGTGCTTCCAAGTCTATATTCCTGCTAAAAAGCTCCTCTTCAGCCCTCACCAATTCAATCAATTTATCATTCATTCATTGCTTGATCCTACCCTTCTCTAAACAGAAACCTCATCACATTTCTTCAGTTGAAACCCACTTACTGCTGGGACCTGCCACACAAGTCTTCCCAGACAGGAACCTAGGAATAGAAAAAGCATGAAAAGACCTGTTTTCATCCTGTGAAGGTCTGACCTCTGGCCTTTTTAATCCTGTATGAAAATAAACTTGCTTTCTTCTCTAATCCATTTAAAGTGGAGTTCTCAGTCACTTGTGTTCTGACATATCAACCCTAATTCAGAACCAAGGTTGATATTGTGACCCCTGCATTCTGTAGGCATAGCGGGAGGAAGACAGCCCACAGAGGCTGGAGGCTGAAGGCTGGATTCTGCTCCCAGCCCTGCTAACTTATTAACTGTGCAGCACATCCTAAGGACCCACCTCTCTGGGGTTTTTCTAGTACTCCAGAACAGTCCCCTGGACACAGAGATGCTTCAAAGTCTAAATTAAGTTCTGTTGAGATCTGGTCAGATCCAATCTGAACTAGGATGGCAAAATGCCCAGTGACCAAGTCTAGAAGTCTCTCCCCCTATCTGGGGAAGAGGATGTAATGAAGGTCAAGTGGAGTCACTTATGTTAAGTACACAGACGAGGACTTGCTTGCAACCCAATGAGTTGTCTTCACCTGTCCTTCTGGGCATCTGTATCCTCAGCTATAAGATGAGCCCACTTCTCAAGGCTGATCTCTCTAGAAGCACAGCCCTCTAATGTGTCCTGGTCTTCTCCTGCTGCCCTCCTAGCCTTCTATTCTCCACATAGATCTGACCATGCCATACTGCTGCATAAAACCCTACAACGTCCTTACCTTCACACACAGGACCTTCTTTATTGAAAGTATGACAATCTGACAAAGACCAACAACCCCACTTCCCTCCATGGACCGCAGTCATACTCCCTTTATAATAGCACATCACTTCTTAAGCTCAGGAACAGCCCGAGGACACCTCCTCCAGAAGCCCTCCTTCATTTTCAGCATCACCTCCCCTCCCCCTGCACAAGGCCCTGGCCCACGACACTGCCTGACTTTATGTGTCTCTGGCACTCTTCCTGTGCCTTCCCTGATTTCAAGACTAAAAAGGCCCCAAGGGCAGGAGCTATGTCTCATCTTTTTCTGTGGTCCCAGAAATCAGTAAAAGGCCACACAAATGTAGAATAAATAAGTAATTGAATGATAACCATAGAGAGCCATAATGTAAGGAAACCTGGTGCCATCCCAGTTTCTGAAATGGTTTAGCTGTTTCCTCTCTGGGCTATAAGCCACGCACATCCCTGGGACCAGACCCTTGCCCCCTGCTAAGCCACACTCAGCTGCCCCTACCACCACCCTTCCCACCACTGCCCCATCCCCCTAATGCTTCTCTGCCCCTGGTCAAGGTGAGACCTACCGGGCTTACCAGCCAGGACTTGCCCAGTCCCCTACAGTAGTCAGTAAGACAAGCTGACACTCTGCTCCCAGCCCCATACCAGCCTCAAAGCCCAGCCCCTACTGGGCCTGGAAAGGAGAGTCACCCAGTGCCAACTGGGACTCAAGAAAGACAAACACCATCCTAATGAAGCAGACAGAGGCAGAAACTGGAGCCAGACTGGACCCCAAGAAAACCTCTTCATCCTTCCTATCCTGGGGAGGGGGCTGTCCCCAGAATGACTCCAGTAGGATCCTGGAGGTCAGGGTCTGCCCTGGGGACCATCAGCTCTCTGCCTGCAGCAGTGCTGCCCCACACGCTTACCCCTTTCTCACCCCTAGCCACAGTGAACAGGTTCCAGATAAGTAAGGTAGAGACCAGGGTCATCTCAGAGAGCTAATGGTCAACAGCCCTGAGCCCTGGGATATGCATCCCCTGACTCTCTCTAAAGGGCTGATGTGAGGTTGCGCTGCACAGTTTGCCAAGCCTGTCTGTGCCCATTTTCATGCTTGATCTCTCTTCTCACCCCCTTGGGCTCCCCTGCTATTAGCCAGACCTTCAGTGAGGGCTTTGCTGGCATCATCCCCATCCCCATAGTAGCTCAGGGTGGTCAGCACTCAGGCTCCCTCAGTTAGTCTTCAAGTAGCTTAGCTCACTGGTGGTTAAGAGGAGTTCCAAAAACTCTGTAATCTCCAAGCCCTCTGCCTGCACCTCTCCCCTGGAGGGAGAGGCCAGACAGGTTCCTGATGACAAGCTCTGCTGGGTGTGGACAGAAACTAGATCCCTCTGGTAGCCACCCCTAGGAATGGCCTCTCTTCCAGCGCTTGGCCCTGCTGCTTGCCTCCCCTGCTCTGGCTACACTACTCCTCTCTCCTGTTGGCCGCACAGGTGACACAATGCACTGGCCTTGCAAGGACCCAGAGCTCTACAAGGGAGCAGTGCCCACTCACTTTCACACAGGCGACGCCTCAGCTTGCCGCGGATCTTGTCTATGGCATTGAAGTCGGACACGTGGAAGACATGCGTGGACTTGGGCTCAGAGGCGATCTCATCCAGCTCCTCCTTCAGCGCGGCGCCCACGCCCACGGCAAAGATTCGGATACCCGCTGCATGCGCGGCCGCCGCGGCGTCCAGCACCAGGTCCTGACTGCGGCCGTCGGTCAGCAGGATGGCCACTTGCTTGAAGGCGCGGTCCCCAGGCCTGCCACCGGCCTGCGCAGAGAAGCTGCGGCTGGTGATGAACCGCAGCGCATCGCCCGTGTTCGTGTTGCCGCCGTGGTAGGTGATGCGCCGCGCCGCTGCCCTGACCTCCTCGCGCGAGCCGAAGCGGCCCAGCTCGAAGGCAGTGGTGGGCCGGTCGCTGTAGCGCACGACCCCCACGCGGGTGTGATCTGGACCCACGTCGAAGGTGTCCACCAGGTTGGCCACCCACTGCCGGACCTTCTCAAAGTCCTCCTTGCCCACGCTGGAGGAGGTATCCAGGAGGAAGATCAGATCATAGTGCACACTTTTGCAGCCTGTAGGGCAAGAGAAAGGATGACTAAGGCGAATGGGTCACGGAAAGTGCATGTCCTTTGTGGTCACTAGGGCCACACAGACCTGACTCAGATACCTGTCTGCTCTGCCTCTCACTAGCATGTGACATACAGGAAATTGAGGGCTCAGATCCTTCCAGGGTCACATGGCAAAAATGATAAACCTTCCCCAAAGTCACCACAAAGGACAACCCAGGATTTAGAACACAGCTATGCCTCAATCTCTCCACTTTTACTTTGGTCAAAACTGCCTTTGTTTTATTATTACTTAAATCTACAACAAATAATACGTGCCCATTTCAGAGACGTCAGAAAGGGCAATCAAAACCTTTTAAATGTTCTTGTCCAGTCTGCACACACAGAGAAAACCACTGTTAACCCATGGTGCACAGCCTCCATCATTTTCTGTTTCCACACAGTCACTGATGGAAACCAGACTATGCCAGGTACACTGGTACACAAGCCGTTTGCCCTGCATCTAGCGGTGTGCTGATTTTAGCCCTTGTTCCCTTGGTGGATATTTAAATATTTTACAGCGTCTCACCATTAGAAATCATGTCACATATGGAGCATTCATATATTTTAAATACAAATTTCCAGCCATTCTGTAATACTTTACACACATCTATACTTGTAATTTTATAAATATAAATTTTATATAGATGATATGATCCGTTTCATTAAATGAAATAAGGCTTTATATAATTTTATATAAACTATATGATGCTCTTGATTAAACAAAATAATTTTTCTCATTTTCACAGCAACCCTGAGCAGGGAGCTGATGAATCCTTTTCATAATTAGGTCATGAGGAAAAGTGTTTCTGGAGTTCCAAGTCCTGCACAGACATACATGGCACTACTGAGAAGCCCCACCAGGAGCAGCCCAGGAGACCTCTGGGAGCACCTGGCACAAACATTTGAGTGGTAAAAATAAACCAGAGCAAAACAAGAACACATTTTGCTAAAACACCAGCATGGCAAAGGTTGGCATGAGCACAGGGAGAAGGTATGTCTCTGCTCAGAGGCGCCATAGGGTTTGTCACACCATCCTCTGGGGGGGTTTTCAAGCCTCTTAAAGGAATGTATCTTTCTATCCATCAATTGTTTTCTGGGGGTAAATCACTAAATTTCCAGAAAACTGGAAGGAAAAAAAATATATAAGGAACATCACAGCAGTACAGCCAAGAAAAATATAGACACACCCTATGCCATCACCCAGAGTCAAGGACCAACATGACAGGAAGGAATCTTCATTTATCAACATGGACACATCTCCCCCTAGAGTGGCAAGTGTGATAAGTATTCTTAAATACCATGTTTAACAGGACAGAATTTCTGGGAAGAAGCCCTGTATATGTGTGTTTGTGTGTGTATGTTTTGTGTGTGTGTTTGTGTGTGTATGTGTGTGTGCGCACAGGCAAGTGCATGCAAGTGTATAGGTATGCCTGCAAGAACCTGAGAAGAAAGCATTTCTGGTCTGTGGCAGGCAGAGATTTGAATTCATTTTAGTATTCTGTATTTTTTCTTTTATCTTTGCAAAACAATTAAGTTCAAAAACAAGGAAAACAATAGAGCTATATGTATTTACACACACACAGATATTTCCTTATCTTTTCTGAATCACTGCTGCTCTTGAATATTTCACACCTCTATTTCCCTCCAATTTTCAAAATCCCAGTTGCAATCTGCATGTCTAGAGTGGAGCTCCGTAACAGGTTGGGCACTACTGTCCCTAACAGGATCGGAGGTTTTGGAGTGTGTTTGCCCAGATGTATAGACTCAGAGATAATTCCTGGGGAGTTTTTCTCCTTGACACAAAGGTCACCCTTTTGTCCTTGGGACAATGATGTCCCAGCCTGTTCAGGATAATTTCTGAGAGGGCTAGGCAGGGTCCAGCTTGCAGGCTGTAATCCTACAGCAAATTTGTTTCAGGACTGCAGACTGTTTGTTTGCTCAGGCAGTCTCACTGAGCCCTCTGAGCTTTGGCACATCTTCCCCCAAAAGGCTGGGAAGAGCTGGATTGTGGGTACATGAGAATTAAATGTGGTATTCAAAAAAGGTTCTGATCTGAGGCCTCAACCTGCTAGAGGCTAAGGGTCTGCCACCCCAGAGAGGTACCTGATTCCTTTGGGGACCATCTTCCACTCTGTGACATGAGGAATGGAGGGATGGTCTTAGGGTCTTTCCACTTTGAATTGTCTGCACATGTTCTCACTGTAAAACTGATATCCATAGTCACTACTGCTCTCTCCAGTCAATCAGGTTTGAGAGACTCAGGCAAAGTAAACTACATGAGAGAACATTGTAAAACCGATAAAGAAATAAAGTGAACTTTATTTTTGAAGCTCTGGCACATCACTTTCGGTGTTCTCCCAGACTCACCTGCTGGGGGCTTGGGATCTCTGTACTTCAGTTCCTCATCTGTAAAGGGGTGACAGCTTCTTACACCTCAGATCTAGTAACAGGTGCTCTCTGCTACCCTGTGGGTGGTCCTGAAGTGGTGCTTCCCATTGCAGACTCTAGCACAACAGGACAGCAAAGCCATCCTATCACAGCTCAGCCCCACCTGTTCCTAGGACTTCCTATCTCCAGTGAATGTTCCCAGTCATTAGTCCACTCCACAGCCATGTTCTGTCCCAGACACTTCTTTGGCTGGACTTCAGTATGTCCATTCTCCCTGGAATGTGTCCCAAAGCCTTCACAGAACTGAGCAACACAACAGGACCTTAAACCTTGCCTATCTCCAGCACCAAATCCTACACGCACTTGCTAGGATCAGGCTCTAGCACACGTGTGAAAGGCAGAGAAGTGTGTCAAGGAAGCCTGTTCTTGCTCTCACCCTCTCTCTCACATACACTCATTCCCTCATATTCACAAGTGCACACACACCCTAACTCACATACATACATGCAAATATTCTCACATGTCACACACACTCACATTCTTACACACTCCACACTCTCCCACACTCACAGATTTCTTTCTCACACACTGGTCCCTGCTGAACAGCTGGTCATTATACATACATCGGTTAGAGGAGAGACAGCACACACTTGTTGGACTGCTGACACTTTGACACACAGAGTCACTCACTAACAGACCCGAGCTGACTGTTCAGTCCCCAGCACCCTCAGACTGCGATGCCCACCTGCTCGCTGGGCCTGGCAGCAGCCATCCCCACTCCACAGCAGCAGAAACCACAGAAGGCAGGCTACAGTGCTCCCTCGAGGGTGTGCCATGGTTCTCTTGCTCTTGAAGACAAGCATTTCTTGGCCAGGAAGAGCCACCATCAGTGTCTACCGGAGCATTTCCTGTGTTGAGAAAAACAAGCCCTTAAAGAATGCTCTGGAGCAGAACGACCACAAGAACTGGAGAGGAATCCCCTGTGTACCCAGCCACCCAGGCCATCTTCACTCCTCCACTTCCACTCTTCACATAGACAACAATGTGACCTTCCAAAGAGCTCAACCATCTGTCCCTCCATCCACCCAACTAGCAAAAGCACAGTGAGGTCCTGCCAGGCCCTGGTAGGACAGAAGTCTGAGGAGAGGAGGAGGTGCTTCTGGGGACCCCACAGCACCTTGCCTGGAGCCCTTCAGTAGTACCACCCATGTCCCTTACTGAACACGGCTCACAGATCGCCATGATCACCTGCCCCGACCTCACCTCCTCTCCGCACTGGCCCAGCAAGCTGCACTTGGTGGCTGTGGATTTTCTAGCAGTTTTCCGCTGAGGCCAGGTCTGTCACAGGCCCTTCCTTCTGTGAAAGGTTTCCCTCTACCTGAAATCCCACACTCACACCAAGAACCCTGGTGGAACACAGCTCTGATGCTGTTTTGCCAGAAGATTTTCCCAGGCACCTTCCTAGCTGACCAAATGAGGTGCCACCCTTGGCTACCTCCAACAAACCCTGAGCTCCCCTCCTGTTAGCTGTGGGCTGTCACTTTATCCATCTGCCTCCTTGTCTTCTTCCAACCACTAGATGCTTGGGGGATGGGACAGTTGATGCCAAGCTGACTCCCTACTCATGGATTAGAGCCCTGTATGCATGCTCAACCAGTATCTATAAGTGCAGGGGAAAATGAACTTTTCAAGGGATTACCAAATCCAAACACTTGTAATGGAAGGGAGGTTGTCTCAAAGGCCAGTAGGACATGAGTGCTGTTCTGCCTCAAATAGGCGAACACTTTCTTTAGATTTTAATGAACAGATAATATGAAGCAGGTGGCAGGGAATAAACTGAGAACAAGCATATTTACTGACGTTGCAAAGTCCTCATGTAATGCAGAAAATTCCACTGATTAGTGGGGTGACTACAGAAGACATGGAAACATAGCCCATAAATTGGCACATCCACCCCAGCAGAAGCCACATGCCACCAACAGTGCCCGTGGCCAAGGCTGGGAAGGGATGTGCAGATGAAAACCACAGGGAAAGGGGAGTGATCACATGGATGTGTGTGTGTGTGTGTGTGTACAAGCAGGTGTGTGTGGATATGGAGGTGTTTCTCCTTATTGCGCTTTTCTGAATTGTGCTGACATTTCAGCTTTTTGTGAATAAAAATCTAAAACAATTTAAAGTATACCTGGGAATCAGAAGAGTACCTCCAAAAACCTGGATTATCTGTGAAGAAAACATCAACAGGGCTGAGCCCGATGACCAACACAGGTGGAGCAGTCTCTAGGGGTTCATGTCTCTCTAGGGTGCTCTCTCTCTCTCTCTCTCTCTCTCTCTCTCTGTCTCTTTCTCTCTCTCTCATAGACACATATACACCCACACACATTCACATGTACACACATGGGGACACACATACAAAGGACATAGAGAGCAAGGTAAATGCACATGTGTGGGCAGAAACCGCCTGGGCCTCACTGACCACAATGTGCCCCAGTCCCTCTGACCTCACACAGCCTCTGCCCTCCAGCCTGCATGGAATGTTCTCTCACCCTGTGTTCTGCAGGTAACGCCCTGTATCCTGGATGCCAGCCCCCCAACTTGACCTCAGGATGGCCGAGGCCATCTAATTTCAATCAGGTCTTTTAACTCACTGTGGGAGGCGGTGGCTGTCCCCATTTTACAGATTTTAAATAGCTGACCTTAGCAGGTGAGGGAATTTGGACCAGCCACACCCCTAGTGGGGTTGGATCCAAGGTCAGACATCCTGTAACCAGCAGGTGTATCTCAAAGGAGAGTCACCCCATCTATGTTGAGTCTAGAAGTTTCTGCTGTACCTGTGACCCTTCAGCCCTGAGGCCAAGCCAAGGAGATGTCCTTTCCTGGAACCCAGTAAGCCTGGGCTTCACACCCCCCCAAATTCACTCCATTCTCTACATTTACCAGACACTAACATTCAGAAAAGCTTCTAACACAGCACCTTCCAGATGAATTTAACCAATCTGCTGTGCCCTATGCTAGGTTGTGCACCAATAACTAACACATTACGATTGTGACCTTTACCTTCCCACAACTCATTCAGGTTTCATCTATCCCCTCAATTTCCTGGCAGAGGACCATCTCATCTCATATCCCTGGTGCCCTCTGTAGGGTTGGGGGCTTTACTCGCCGAGGGGCAACATATTCCTCATGTCTCCTTCCTCCTATCCTTCTGCACTTCCTGGGAAATGAGTAGCTGATTGAAGAGAGACATCCCAGAATTTTGGTTTAAGCACTGATTTGTTTCCATGGGGCCTGGCACTGCTCCTGGTCAGAGAATGCATCATGACAATCTGCAATGATCTGTACATGCAGATTGCCAGGGAGCTCTTTAAAGGCAGAGAATGGGACCTAGTGGCTTCTGTAACACCAGTGACAGGCACAAAACCTAGCACAAAGCAGGCACTCAGTTAATGCCCCACTCTAAAGAAAAGAAAGAGAAAAAAAGATAAAAATAGAAAGAAAGAAGGGGCGGTTCATAACTCAGCTGCCACAGGACAAAGTTGATCTCTGAGACTATTGGCCTGGGCACAGGACTGATGCTGCAGGCATGTTCCTGTCTCCATTCTGTTTAGATGGGGCAGTCCCCAAAGCTGATCATGCCTAACTGCGCCTGGTACTAACTGTAAGGAGTGTTAAGTGCCTGCTCCAGTAAGTACACTAAGCAGTTTCCCTCCCTAATTTCATCTTACTTACTTCTCCAGTTCAGGATCTGTGCCGGCACCAGGATATCCACCCCATTTTATTGATTGCTTCCACAGCATGGAAGGATGACAGTCTTCCTACTAGAGGTGGTGCTAGGATTTGAACCCAGGGGTCAAAGCCCATTCTCCTTATGCATGGCCCACTCTGCATATCCCCATCCATGTTGGGAATGTTTTTTCTCTTTATATTATATCTTCTGTTCTGCCTGGTCTGTTAAAAATATCTCATAAGTTTCATTCTTATTGACTTCCATCATTATTGGCCACCTAGAACTATACCTATATAACTAGCACTATTATCTTTTAATCATAATCTCTACTTGTGGACATTTAATAGGCCATTTTACTTGTTTAATATACTACCAAGGACATCTTTGTACCTAAGTCTTGCCCATATACAATTATTTTCTTAGGATAGGTTTGTAGAAAAACGCTTGGAGGGTCCTATGAATTTTGCAAGGACCCTGACATGAATTAACATATTGTTCTTCAAAACTGTATCCATTTTCATCACCTCAGTAGTGTGCAAGTATCTAGGAGAGCTCCCTCACCACGTATTTGACAGAAACGAAGGTATCATTCCTTTAATCTTTTCCAACTCAGATAGAAGAAATATTGTTCCTTATTTTGTGTGCATACCTTTGGTCCATGAGGTTTATTGCTTAGGTGCATTTCCCCATTCTGTATATTTTATTTTCAAGTGAATGTCCATTTATAAAAGGATTTGCCTTTGTTCAAGCTAAGGTTCTGGACAGGGAAAAGGGGAGAGTTTAAAGAAATAACCACTGATTTGCTCATTTATTAAATATTCACCCAGTTGTCCTCCCATGCCAGATGCCGAGGACAGGTAAGTAAGTGACACTGAGCACACTCTGGACAGGCACTTGCTGACTCCTGAGATATGGATAAGATGCACAACAGGGCAAGGCCAGATCCAATGAATGCTGGAAGGAGAAATTGCAGAGTGGTAGAGGACACAGGGAGTTGGTGGGTAGCAGCCACATTACCATTTCAGGGGAAGGTCAGGCTTCTTAGGGCCCTTGCAAGTGCAATTCAGAGGACCGAGTAGGACCAAAGCAGACAAAAGGAAGATGACAACTTCAGACAGACAGGATGGAATCTAAAAGGCCCCAAGGGGTACCAGTACAGGGTACTTAGGGACCTTTCCAAGCAGGACAGGTGTGCAGGATCCTCTTAGGTAGGTACATGAATTCTACAATCTGACCTCTACCACTTTCTTGGCAAAGTGCACTCATTTACCAAGGCACTGAAGGCCACATTGCAAGTGCCTGGGCTACAAGAGCCTGAATGGCAATAGCAGGAGGCAGCCACAGGAAGAAGAAAGGTATTGTCCTGAAAGGGAACATGTAGGGCCAGTCAGAGTTCCAGGATTAAGGGTCAGATGGTCCAGCAAGAGAAGAGACAGAATAAGCAAGTTCGAGCTGGTGGCCCAGTCCTCTCATCCTTCAAAGCTGGTGAATGAGGCTTGTCTACATTGTTTGTGCTTTTGCCCAGCACTTAGGGCAGTTTCTAACACATAGTGGTCACCTCAATAAATGTTAGACTTATGAATTAGTGAAGAACAGCTGGCATCTAATGCTGTCCTATTACCTTACTACCTTGTGGTAGCTAGGAGTCATTCATTACACAGCATAGATACCATCAGAGAGTTAAGAAAGCAAATGGCTAACTGCCATTTATTTTCTGCCCTGCTCTAGGCATTTTCTGGTTGTTGTATGTCTCATGTGACCATTCAAGATGGGCATCATTATTCTCATTTGGGGAAGGAAGAGCCTGATACAGAAAGAAGACATATGTCTTTCCCCGGTCACTCACTGGGTTAGAGGAGGGGCTTAGACTTGAACCCAGGCCTCTTCTGGGCAGAACCTACATTCTCTAAGGCTTCCATGGATACAACAAGCTCAGACATTAGCAGCAACTTCCAAGCCACCACTTTTTTGAGTAACAAAAAGATGGTGGATGTAGGGACAAAAATGGAAGACTCTCTCCTTGTTCATTATTTCCCAGGACTCAAGAAATTTGATAATTTCCCTGATTGCAGAAATTGGGCTTCATCCAAGTTTTTAGAGGAATTCCTATAATGTATCTTCCCAAATGCAAACAAAAAGAAAGAAAACTACAGATAACTATCCCTAATGAACAGAGAGGCAAAA